AGGACAAAAGAGAGGAAGGGAGGAATGAGTGTAGAGGAAAATCAGAGAGGAGGAGGAAAGGAGAGAAGCAGGAGAGAAGAGGATAACACGGGACAGGTAAAGGAGGAGAGGAGTGAGAACAGGGGGAGGGAGAAAATAAAAGTGCAAAGGATCAGAGGACAGGAAGGGAGGGAAAGGAAGAAAAACAACTAGAGCAGACAAGAAAAGAAAGAAGGGAGAAAAGAGGAGGAGAGGCAGGGTCTTTTTTTTACCCACTCTGAAATTGATATACATTTCAGGGGGAAATTCCTTTGTGCTGGTCCTGGGGCTCTGCCAAGAACCCTGACTGGCATTACAGGGGCGGGGGAGAGAGAGATGAAGGGATGGGGGAGGAAGAGGAGTGATATTTTGGCCAGCCTCCCCTTGGCTAACCTGGCCCATATTGTACATGAGCTCCGTTTCCCCTGGGTCATTATCTGACACTGATAACAGGGGGGTGGGGACGGAGGAGAGAAGAAGGATGTCAGTGTTTTCACCCTGGGAAAGAGAGCTCCATAGAGATTAAAGGACAGGGATGGTCAATATCACGTACATCTGGCTGGAAAAGGAAGAGGGAACAAGACTAGAAAAAGGAAATACAGAGGGGATGGATGGACAGGAGAAGCCCACATTTTAAACAGTGCTGTTACAGTAACCCCTATTCGACATGTACACACACACACACACAAATCGGAGGGCCTGTTGTCTGGACCTATGGCAGTCTCTATGGGGGTGCCACAGGGTTCAATTCTTGGGCCGACTCTTTTCTCTGTGTATATCAATGATGTCGCTCTTGCTGCTGGTGACTCTCAGATCCACCTCTACGCAGACGACACCATTTTGTATACATCTGGCCCTTCATTGGACACTGTGTTAACAAACCTCCAAACGAGCTTCAATGCCATACAACACTCCTTCAGTAGCCTCCAACTGCTCTTAAACACTAGTAAAACTAAATGCATGCTCTTCAATCGAACGCTGCTGGCACCCGCCCACCCGACTAGAATCACTACTCTCGACGGGTCTGACCTAGAGTATGTGGACAACTACAAATACCTAGGTGTCTGGTTAGACTGTAAACTCTCCTTCCAGACTCACATTAAGAATCTCCAATCCAAAGTTAAATCTAGAATTGGTTTCCTATATCGCAACAAAGCCTCCTTCACTCATGCTGCCAAACATGCCCTCGTAAAACTGACTATCCTACCGATCCTTGACTTCGGCGATGTCATTTACAAAATAGCCTCCAACACTCTACTCAGCAAATTGGATGTAGTCTATCACAGTGCCATCCGTTTTGTCTCCAAAGCCCCATATACTACCCACCACTGTGACCTGTACGCTCTTGTTGGCTGGTCCTCACTACATATTCGTCGCCAAACCCACTGGCTCCAGGCCATCTATAAATCACTGCTAGGCAAATCCCCGCCTTATCTTAGCTCATTGGTCACCATAGCAACACCCACCCGTAGTATGCGCTCCAGCAGGTATATCTCACTGGTCACCCCAAAGCCAACACCTCCTTTGGCCGCCATTCCTTCCAGTTCTCTGCTGCCAATGACTGGAACAAATTGCAAAAATCTCTGAAGCTGGAGACTCTTATCTCCCACACTAACTTTAAGCATCAGTTGTCAGAGCACCTTACCGATCACTGCACCTGTACACAGCCCATCTGAAATTAGCCCACCCAACTACCTCATCCCTATATTGTTATTTATTTTGCTCATTTGCACCCCAGTATCTCTATTTGCACATCATCTATTGCACATCTATCATTCCAGTGTTAATGCTAATTGTAATTATTTTGCACTATAGCCTATTTATTGCCTTACCTCCATAACTTGCTACATTTGCACACACTGTATATATATTTTCTGTTGTATTTTTGACTTTATGTTTTGTTTTACCCCATATGTAACTGTGTTGTTGTTTTTATCGCACTGCTTTGCTTTATCTTGGCCAGGTCGCAGTTGTAAATGAGAACTTGTTCTGAACTGGCTTACCTGGCTAAATAAAGGTGAAATTAAAATTTAAAATTTAAAAAATAAACACACACACAAACAGGCAAGTTGCTGCAGGGTGAGTAAATAGGAGAGTGGCGACTGAATGGTATTTTACTGCTCCTGTATTTATGGCAGGTTATTTTGACCATGGGTGTTCTCTGCTCAAACTCTCAGAGTCATTAATTAACGTGTGTGTGTGTTTACACCCTCAACTTTCAATCCCCCCTCCCATAGTTTGTGAATTCTATTTTTAAAATCACTCTCTAATGCACAACACATACCATACACACAACACACACCACACACATCAACATGTGTCTGTGTGTGTGTGCACATTCTTGTGAGTGAGTGTGTGTGTGTGTGTGTGTGTGTGTGTGTGTGTGTGTGTGTGTGTGTGTGTGTGTGTGTGTGTGTGTGTCTGAGGTTAACCTTACATACCAATGGATGTTCTAATCAGCTGAGATGGAGGGATGAAAGAATGTGCAGATTATCACCCAGTAATTGTTTCCAGAGTGTGGTAGCTACATTTCACACTGCAACACCCACATAGACAGGAGGGTGAAGTGACCCATAGGATCTGATCTAAGGTCAGTTAAACATGTTTCACTCTGTAGGTGAAGGTTGGGATATGAGAAGATTAAACTGATCCTAGATTAACATTTACATTTACGTCATTTAGCAGACGCTCTTATCCAGAGCGACTTACAAATTGGTGCATTCACCTTATAGCCAGTGGGATAACCACTTTACAATTTTTTGTGGGGTGGGGTAAGGGGGGGGGGGGGGTAGAAGGATTACTTTATCCTATCTCAGGTATTCCTTAAAGAGGTGGGGTTTCAAATGTCTCCGGAAGGTGGTGAGTGACTCCGCTGTCCTGGCGTCGTGAGGGAGCTTGTTCCACCATTGGGGTGCCAGAGCAGCGAACAGTTTTGACTGGGCTGAGCGGGAACTGTGCTTCCGCAGAGGTAGGGGAGCCAGCAGGCCAGAGGTGGATGAACGCAATGCCCTCGTTTGGGTGTAGGGACTGATCAGAGCCTGAAGGTACGGAGGTGCCGTTCCCCTCACAGCTCCGTAGGCAAGCACCATGGTCTTGTAGCAGATGCAAGCTTCAACTGGAAGCCAGTGGAGTGTGCGGAGGAGCGGGGTGACGTGAGAGAACTTGGGAAGGTTGAACACCAGACAGGCTACGGCATTCTGGATGAGTTGTAGGGGTTTAATGGCACAGGCAGGGAGCCCAGCCAACAGCGAGTTGCAGTAATCCAGACGGAAGATGACAAGTGCCTGGATTAGGACCTGTGCCGCGGCTTCCTGTGTAAGGCAGGGTCGTACTCTCCGAATGTTGTAGAGCATGAACCTACAGGATCGGGTCACTGCCTTGATGTTAGCGGAGAACGACAGGGTGTTGTCCAGGGTCACGCCAAGGCTCTTCGCACTCTGGGAGGAGGACACAACTGAGTTGTCAACCGTGATGGCGAGATCATGGAACGGGCAGTCCTTCCCCGGGAGGAAGAGCAGCTCCGTCTTGCCAAGGTTCAGCTTGAGGTGGTGATCCGTCATCCATACTGATATGTCTGCCAGACATGCAGAGATGCGATTTGCCACCTGGTTATCAGAAGGGGGAAAGGAGAAGATTAGTTGTGTGTCGTCTGCGTAGCAATGATAGGAGAGGCCATGTGAGGATATGACAGAGCCAAGTGACTTGGTGTATAGCGAGAATAGGAGAGGGCCTAGAACTGAGCCCTGGGGGACACCAGTGGTGAGAGCACGTGGTGCAGAGACAGCTTCTCGCCACGCCACTTGGTAGGAGCGACCGGTCAGGTAGGACGCAATCCAAGAGTGAGCCGCGCCGGAGATGCCCAGCTCGGAGAGGGTGGAGAGGATGGTTCACAGTATCAAAGGCAGCAGACAGGTCTAGAAGGACAAGAGCAGAGGAGAGAGAGTTAGCTTTAGCAGTGTGGAGAGCCTCTGTGACACAGAGAAGAGCAGTCTCAGTTGAATGACCAGTCTTGAAACCTGACTGGTTTGGATCAAGAAGGTCATTCTGAGAGAGATAGCAAGAGAGTTGGCTAAAGACGGCACGCTCAAGAGTTTTGCAGAGAAAAGAAAGAAGGGATACTGGTCTGTAGTTGTTGACATCAGAGGGGTCGAGTGTTGGTTTTTTGAGAAGGGGTGCAACTCTCGCTCTCTTGAAGACGGAAGGGACATAGCCAGCGGTCAAGGATGAGTTGATCAGCGAGGTGAGGTAAGGGAGAAGGTCACCAGAGATGGTCTGGAGAAGAGAGGAGGGGATAGGGTCAAGCGGGCAGGTTGTTGGGCGTCCGGCCGTCACAAGTTGCAAGATTTTATCTGGAGAGAGAGGGGAGAAAGAAGTCAAAGCATAGGGTAGGGCAGTGTGAGCAGGACCAGCAGTGTCATTTGACTTAACAAACGAGGATCGGATGTCGTCAACCTTCTTTTCAAAATGGTTGACGAAGTCATCCACAGAGAGGGAGGAGGGGGGAGGAGGGGGAGGAGGATTCAGCAGGGAGGAGAAGGTGGCAAAGAGCTTCCTAGGGTTAGAGGCAGATGCTTGGAATTTAGAGTGGTAGAAAGTGGCCTTAGCAGCAGAAACAGATTAAGAAAATGTAGAGTGAAAAGATGCCAGGTCCGCAGGGAGTCTAGTTTTCCTCCATTTCCACTCGGCTGCCCGGAGCCCTGTTCTGTGAGCTCGCAATGAGTCATCAAGCCACGGAGCTGAAGGGGAGGACCGAGCCGGCCGGGAGGATAGGGGACATAGAGAGTCAAAGGATGCAGAAAGGGAGGAGAGGAGGGTTGTGGAGGCAGAATCAGGAGATTGGAGGGAGAAGGATTGAGCAGAGGGAAGAGATGATAGGATGGAAGAGGAGAGAGTAGCGGGAGAGAGAGAGCGAAGGTTGCGACTGCGCATTACCATCTGAGTAGGGGCAGAGTGAGTAGTGTTGGAGGAGAGTGAGAGAGAAAAGGATATGAAGTAGTGGTCGGAGACATGGAGGGGAGTTGCAGTGAGATTAGTAGAAGAACAGCATCTAGTAAAGATGAGGTCAAGCGTATTGCCTGCCTTGTGAGTAGGGGGGGACGGTGAGAGGGTGAGGTCAAAAGAGGAGAGGAGTGGAAAGAAGGAGGCAGAGAGAAATTAGTCAAAGGTAGACGTAGGGAGGTTGAAGTCCCCCAGAACTGTGAGGGGTGAGCCATCCTCAGAAAAGGAACGTATCAAGGTGTCAAGCTCATTGATGAACTCTCCAAGGGAACCTGTAGGGCGATAAATGACAAGGATGTTAAGCTTAAATGGGCTAGTGACTGTGACAGTATGGAATTCAAATGAGGAGATAGACAGATGGGTCAGGGGAAAAATAGAGAATGTCCACTTGGGAGAGATGAGGATTCCTGTGCCACCACCCCGCTGACCAGATGCTCTCGGGGTATGCGAGAACACATGGTCAGACGAGGAGAGAGCAGTAGGAGTAGCAGTGCTTTCAGTGGTAATCCATGTTTCCGTCAGCGCCAAGAAGTCGAGGGACTGGAGGGTAGCATAGACTGAGATGAACTCTGCCTTGTTGGCCGCAGAACGGCAGTTCCAGAGGCTGCCTGAGACCTGGAACTCCACGTGGGTGGTGCGTGCAGGGACCATCAGGTTAGAGAGGCAGCAGCCACGCGGTGTGAGGCGTTTGTATAGCCTGTGCGGAGAGGAGAGAACAGGGATAGACAGAGGCATAGTTGACAGGCTACAGAAAATGGCTACAATAATGCAAAGGAGATCGGAATTAAATGAACTAAACATCTGGGAAAGGAGAGAGCGGGCCTCCCTCACCACAACACCCAAATATAACTCTCCCAACTTCCACCTCAGAAACTATAATTGTTGTAAACTACAGCGGTTCAATGTTTTCTAGGAATAGACTAACTTAGTTTATTCATCTAGCTAACTTGGTACAGTATTCTTCCATGAAAATCGTCCAGGGCACCTAGTCATAAGACGCCACAGCCAGCTAGCATGCCGGACTCCAACAACACGGTTTAGCACCAATACCCGGCCACAACAAACCACCAGTGTGTCAACACGCTGAGCAGATCATTCGTGTCCGTGTCTAACGTTGTGGGTTAGTCCCGACAGCTTGAGCGAGTCCGTCGTCAACTTATTCAGCCAGTTAGTTAGCTAGAATAGTTAGCATACTAGCTAGCCATTGCTTTTAGACAAAGAAGAAACCCCTCCTTTCACGGCATGAACACACAGAGAGAGCCAAGCTAACGTTAACTAGTCACCCATGTCCCGAATTCCTTGAACGACTCTGGCTACCAATATGTAAAAACAAAACACAAATGTAGGTTATAACTTACCCCTAGCAGCTACTGTTAGCTAGCCAAGTGCAAAGCTAGCCACTGAATTGACTCAGCCAGTTCGCGTCTGTTCGCTAGGTCGTTCCAGCTATTGTTTACTAGTAGCTATCCAGGTAGCAACAAGCTAGCTAAATTTCAAGCACAGTAGCCACTTACTACCTAACGTTAACGGTTCAGACAATGAGGTTAGAAAACAGCTGAATGGTAGGCAATATTGTATGTAATTATTGTAAGCAGCCAGCTGGCGTAATTACAGGCACTCTCAGGCGTGAAACAACTATACCGTTGCTAATAGTTGCCAGTAGCTACCCGCCAGCTAGTCCAGGTAGTGGGTTAGCTAGCTAGCTTCGTGCTTCACCGGGCTAGATCTTTTGAGTAAAGGTGCAACCTCTACATTGTTTTACCAAAATATGCTTTTTTTGAGGAATGGTGGTGATATGTAGTTTCCTTACCTCGTTGAATGCACTGACTGTCACTCTGGATAAAATACGTTCTTTATAATGTAAAAATGTACACTGGGCTTCCAGTACTTTATAAAGACCAGTGTAGGTCTCAGATACTGTACTTACAGGTGTAGGATCATAATTTGAGCCAGTTTGCTATAGCAGGAAAACAATCTTGCAGCACAGGAAATGTGAATTATTATATGGATTATAATTAATTGACTTTTTTGTAGGGGTTGATACATTTTTCACAAGGGAAATTACAAACTTCAGAAGCATTTTTAAACCTCAAATACCCTACAAGTTTTAAAATGTCCTACATTGCAGGAAAGCTCTGCAACAGGGTGATCAACTTAAGATCTTACAGCTGTACATGGATTTGAGTCCCCTTGATAATGGTCCTCTGTAGCTCAGCTGGTAGAGCACGGCGCTTGTAACGCCAAGGTAGTGGGTTCGATCCCCGGGACCACCCATACACAAAAATGTATGCACGCATGACTGTAAGTCGCTTTGGATAAAAGCGTCTGCTAAATGGCATATTATTATTATTATGATGATCCTCCAGGGCCTGAGTATAGCATAGCAGTGAGAGGGTAACTACAGTATATCTCTCAAACCTCACTCATCGCCTCATCCCTACTTCAGAATCAAAAGAGGGGGAATCTTTATTTCTCTTGTTCTTCTTCCCCCTCTCCCTCTCTTATTTTCCATTCCTCCTGATTCAAATGTTCATCATCATACATCACTCTGTTCAGACACACACGCACTCACTCACAGATCTGTACTACACAGAGAAGAGCCTGACTTTCACCAACTCACTGTAAATCATGTTCTCTTACTAAAAGACTCTTTCCACAAGCGTCCATACTGCAAAGACAAACAATGAGGCATTGAGAGCAAAATCATTCGACGAATACGAATAATTGAAGTTTGTTTTTTAAACTGATTTTCCATTTCAGAACCAGCGGACAAGCGAGCAATTTCCTCCACAGCCCTGACCTCAACCAAATTTTAACCAATTTGGAAATCACATATCGGTTAGCACTGAGGCCTCAGTGTCCCAGAACCCAAACAATCTGATTAGAGTAAATAAAGTTCAATTTCCTAATCCCAGGAGTTCCTAATCCCAGGAGTTCCTAATCCCAGGAGCTCCTAATCCCAGGAGCTCCTAATCCCAAGAAGCAAGTCCAGATTCCAGAGCAGGGATGGATTTTAAAGGGACAAGGGGATCGGTAGTCCGATGATGGCTGAAGTTCATTGATTTGGTTGTTAGATCAGAGGAGTTATCTAATGATTGATTGAGGCCATAAAGAGACAGTGAATGGGTCGCTATACTGTGGAGAAGCTTCCTTTCCTCCCTCCTTCATTTCCTCATCTGACCAGTCTGGGTAGGTGGAATGAACAAGGAGGATATGCTACCTCATCCATTCTCAAATGGTGACATCAGGACCCACGTACGTGAGTAGAGGCAGACTGAGTTGAAGATTAGTGGGCATTTGGAGAGCAAAGGTCATGCCCTGTCAAGAGGCAACACTTTGGGAGAGACTAAGGGTCCGTGACTGACGTGCTAACCGATATGTGATTTCCAAATTGGTTAAAATTCGGTTAAGGTCAGTGTTTGTTTAACAGAATGGTTGAGGTTATTTTATTGCCGTTCACATGGTAGAATAATAAACGTGAACAGTTATTGAATTAGTAGAAATGATAAGCTGTGTAAAATGGAATGGATGAGATTCTGTAGAACCAACTGTAGAATTCCTTTTCCCATTGTTCTCAGTACACAATGGTGTGTTTGCATTAGAATTATTCTATAACCCATCTTAATATTGTTGAACATCCATCCAGGAAGCTAAATATACAGTCAATGTCTTCTAATGCCCTCCATCCCTCAGTCAATCCATATTTGCAGCATGTTTACATTATGAAAATCATACTCTCACTGCTAGAAAACAAACCTCTCTTCTGCTCTGTCCGCCATCATCATTTAACAGATAGCATCACTACTGACTTCCTGAGACCTGAATAAATAATATGCCATTTAGCAGACGCTTTTATCCAAAGCGACTTACAGTCGTGCGTGCATACATTTTTTGTGTATGGGTGGTCCCGGGGATCGAACCCACTACCTTGGCGTTACAAGCGCCGTGCTCTACCAGCTGAGCTACAGAGGACCACAAGTAGTGTCAGTCCAACCCATTCTACCACACCCATGGTTTTGGTAAGCTAGTGGTTAACACAGTAGCACTTTAGCACATTAGCTCAATCTGTTGGACCTGACCAGACAGGCTGATCATAGGTTGTCTCCATACTGGGTGATGGTTAAAGACTAACCCAAACCTTATGAAGAAGAGGAGTAAAAAGTCAAAATCAAATCAAAATCAAATGACATTTTATTTGTCACATGCGCCGAATACAACCTTACCATGAAATGCTTACTTACAAGCCCTTAACCAACAATGCCGTTTTAAGAAAATATTTACTAAATCAACTAAAGTTTAAAAAGTAACACAATAAAATAACAATAATGAGGCTATATACAAGGGGTAACGGTACCGAGTCAATCATGTCATATTGTTTATTCTTTTCTGATGTCAATAAGTGGTATCAAGAAAATACTGTAACTTGGAAAGTATATCACCATTATCTGTCAAGTTTTCATCCAATACGTTGTGTATATAATATGAAAAATGATGAAAGTATCTTTGTTAAGATAGGAATGTGATTTTAGTTTTCTAATAAGATAAATGTTTTTAATATAAGCTTTACACAGTAACTAGCCATGTCCCGAGTGAGCTCAGAGAGCGTGTCAGCATGTGGAACGCCCTTCGGCCAGAGTGCATAAAAAGCCTTGGAAATGAAATTAACATTAGACCAGAAAGACGTGAGGCGGTCACTACATGTCTGAAAGTGGTTGGAACGTTGAACCTCAACACGAGGTGAAGAAGATCACCTCCCAGACTAGACCCGAACATTGCCAGGCTGCAGCTGTGCATGTAAAGTGGTTCAAACTCTGACTAACCACACGTGGTGGAGAGGAGAACTCCCCTCTCAGACAATCACTGGTACAGCTAATTAGCTGTTCTAAAGAAACACTCCACTACAGACCAGGACAACTAAGAAAAAGGACATTGTGACCTCTTGTGGACAATCAGAGCCTTACAAGGGAGCTGAGTGAAGACCCAGCCAAACCCCCTTTCAAGAAGACTTGGGACAACAGAGATAAATGGCAAATAAAGGCATTCAAACACATAAATACATTCATGATTTCTTACTCCAAACGGGCGGTGGTTCGTGTGCAAAGTAAATGATTACGGTGAGCGTAGTTTCCAAATGTACGATAAGTGTGTCTCTCTTTTTTTCTCTCTCTCTCTCTCTACCCCTCCCTCTTTTGGTAAACAAGCAGTCATGTTGTTGTTAGTCTGTTAGGGAACTTTTTCTCATGTATTAAGTGTGTATATTTTTCTGTGTTATTATATAGTTAGCTAGTAAAAAAATTATTAAACCAATTTGTGTAGTGCTGAATCATAAGTACAGCTGGGGGTTTTGCTGATCCAAGAAAGTTAAAACTGTTCAGAATGATATGATAAGAGGTTATGAATTAATACGTTGACTATTTTATGGATGTGATACAGTTGAAGTCGGAAGTTTACATACACCTTAGCCAAATACATTTAAACTCAGTTTTTCACAATTCCTGAAATGTAATCCTAGTAAAGATTCCGTGTCTTAGGTCAGTTAGGATCACCACTTTATTTTACGAATGTGAAATGTCAGAATAATAGTAGAGAGAATGATTTATTTCAGCTTTTATTTCTTTCATCACATTCCCAGTGGGTCAGAAGTTTACATACACTCAATTAGTATTTGGTAGCATTGCCTTTAAATTGTTTAACTTGGGTCAAACGTTTCGGGTAGCCTTCCACAAGCTTCCCACAATAAGCTCCTGACAGAGCTTGTGTAACTGAGTCAGGTTTGTAGGCCTCCTTAATCACACACGCGTTTTCAGTTCTGCCCACCAATGTTCTATAAGATTGAGGTCAGGGCTTTGTGATGGCCACTCCAATACCTTGACTTTGTTGTCCTTAAGCCATTTTGCCACAACTTTGGAAGTATGCTTGGGGTCATTGTCCATTTGGAAGACCCATTTGCGACCAAGCTTTAACTTCCTGACTGATGTCTTCAGATGTTGCTTCAGGCATTTGTGGAACCTTCAGGCATTTGGAAATTGCTCCCAAGGATGAACCAGACTTGTGGAGGTCTACACATTTTTTTCTGAGGTCTTGGCTGATTTATTTTGATTTTCCCATGATGTCAAGCAAAGAGGCACTGAGTTTGAAGGTAGGCCTTGAAATACATTCACAGGTACACCTCCAATTGACTCAAATGATGTCAATTAGCCTATCAGAAGCTTCTAAAGCCATGACATAATTTTATGGAATTTTCCAAGCTGTTTAAAGGCACAGTCAACTTAGTGTATGTAAACTTCTCACCCACTGGAATTGTGATACAGTGAATTATAAGTGAAATAATCTGTCTATAAACAATTGTTGGAAAAATTACTTGTGTCATGCACAAAGTAGATGTCCTAACCGACTTGCCAAAACTATAGTTTGTTAACAAGAAATTTGTGGAGTGGTTGAAAAACTAGTTTTAATGACTCCTACCTAGGTGTATGTAAACTTACAACTTCAACTGTAGGTAAAGACCTTTAGAGTTTAATTCGGGAGACGGTAACTCTTTAAACAACTTCTTCCGTAGTGCCCCAAATCCTAATGAGTTAATTGTTACATGATTAATTTAATCGATTAACAATTAAACATAGTTAGTTGATTCGATAAATAACAGCCATCAGATTAATGCATTATTGTAGCCATTTTCTGTAGCCTGTCAACTATGCCTCTGTCTATCCCTGTTCTCTCCTCTCCGCACAGGCTATACAAACGCCTCTCACTGCGTGGCTGCTGCCTCTCTAACCTGGTGGTCCCTGCACGCACAACCCACGTGGAGTTCCAGGTCTCCGGCAGCCTCTGGAACTGCCGTTCTGCGGCCAACAAGGCAGAGTTCATCTCAGCCTATGCTACCCTCCAGTCCCTCGACTTCTTGGCGCTGACGGAAACATGGATTACCACTGAAAACACTGCTACTCCTACTGCTCTCTCCTCGTCTGACCATGTGTTCTCGCATACCCCGAGAGCATCGAGCATCTGGTCAGCGGGGTGGTGGCACAGGAATCCTCATCTCTCCCAAGTGGACATTCTCTCTTTTTCCCCTGACCCATCTGTCTATCTCCTCATTTGAATTCCATGCTGTCACAGTCACTAGCCCATTCAAGCTTAACATCCTTGTCATTTATCGCCCTCCAGGTTCCCTTGGAGAGTTCATCAATGAGCTTGACGCCTTGATAAGTTCCTTTCCTGAGGATGGCTCACCCCTCACAGTTCTGGGTGACTTCAACCTCCCCTACGTCTACCTTTGACTCATGTCTCTCTGCCTCCTTCTTTCCACTCCTCTCCTCTTTTGACCTCACCCTCTCACCGTCCCCCCCTACTCACAAGGCAGGCAATACGCTTGACCTCATCTTTACTGGATGCTGTTCTTCTACTAATCGCACTGCAACTCCCCTCCAAGTCTCCGACCACTACTTTGTATCCTTTTCTCTCTCGCTCTCCTCCAACACTACTCACTCTGCCCCTACTCAGATGGTAACCCTAGGAAGCTCTTTGCCACATTCTCCTTCCTGCTGAATCCCCCCCCCCCCCCCCCCCCCCCCCCCCCCTCCCTCTCTGTGGTTGACTTCGTCAACCATTTTGAAAAGAAGGTTGACGACATCCGATCCTCGTTTGTTAAGTCAAATGACACTGCTGGTCCTGCTCCCACTGCCCTACCCTATGCTTTGACTTCTTTCTCCCCTCTCTCTCCAGATGAAATCTTGCGACTTGTGACGGCCGGCCACCCAACAACCTGCCCGCTTGACCCTATCCCCTACTCTCTTCTCCAGACCATCTCCGGTGACCTTCTCCCTTACCTCACCTCGCTCATCAACTCATCCTTGACTGCTGGCTATGTCCCTTCCGTCTTCAAGAGAGCGAGAGTTTCACCCCTTCTCAAAAAACCAACACTCGATCCCTCTGATGTCAACAACTACAGACCAGTATCCCTTCTTTCTTTTCTCTCCAAAACTCTTGAGCGTGCCGTCTTTAGCCAACTCTCTTGCTATCTCTCTCAGAATGACCTTCTTGATCCAAACCAGTCAGGTTTCAAGACTGGTCATTCAACTGAGACTGCTCTTCTCTGTGTCACGGAGGCTCTCCGCACTGCTAAAGCTAACTCTCTCTCCTCTCTTCTTGTCCTTCTAGACCTGTCTGCTGCCTTTGATACTGTGAACCATCAGATCCTCCTCTCCACCCTCTCCGAGTTGGGCATCTCCGGCGCGGCTCACTCTTGGATTGCGTCCTACCTGACCGGTCGCTCCTACCAAGTGGCGTGGCGAGAATCTGTCTCCGCACCACGTGCTCTCACCACTGGTGTCCCCCAGGGCTCAGTTCTAGGCCCTCTCCTATTCTCGCTATACACCAAGTCACTTGGCTCTGTCATATCCTCACATGGCCTCTCCTATCATTGCTACGCAGACGACACACAACTAATCTTCTCCTTTCCCCCTTCTGATAACCAGGTGGCGAATCGCATCTCTGTATGTCTGGCAGACATATCAGTGTGGATGACGGATCACCACCTCAAGCTGAACCTCGGCAAGACGGATCTGCTCTTCCTCCCGGGGAAGGACTGCCCGTTCCATGATCTCGCCATCACGGTTGACAACTCTGTTGTGTCCTCCTCCCAGAGTGCGAAGAGCCTTGGCATGACCCTGGACAACACCCTGTCGTTCTCCGCTAACATCAAGGCGGTTACCCGATCCTTTAGGTTCATGCTCTACAACATTCGGAGAGTACGACCCTGCCTTACACAGGAAGCGGCACAGGTCCTAATCCAGGCACTTGTCATCTCCCGTCTGGATTACTGCAACTCGCTGTTGGCTGGGCTCCCTGCCTGTGCCATTAAACCCCTACAACTCATCCAGAATGCCGCAGCCCGTCTGGTGTACCAACCTTCCCAAGTTCTCTCACTTCACCCCGCTCCTCCACACACTCCACTGGCTTCCAGTTGAAGCTCGCATCTGCTACAAGACCATTGTGCTTGCCTATGGAGCTGTGAGGGGAACGGCACCTCCGTACCTTCAGGCTCTGATCAGTCCCTACACCCAAACGAGGGCATTGCGTTCATCCACCTCTGGCCTGCTGGCCCCCCTACCTCTGCGTAAGCACAGTTCCCGCTCAGCCCAGTCAAAACTGTTCGCTGCTCTGGCACCCCAATGGTGGAACAAGCTCCCTCACGACGCCAGGACAGGGGAGTCACTCACCACCTTCCGGAGACACTTGAAACCCCACCTCTTTAAGGAATACCTGGGATAGGATAAAGTAATCCTTCTACCCCCCCCTTACCCCACCACAAAACACATATTGTAAAGTGGTTATCCCACTGGCTATAAGGTGAATGCACCAATTTGTAAGTCGCTCTGGATAAGAGCGTCTGCTAAATGACGTAAATGTAAATGTAAATGTAATTAATGAAAGTCACCTCACGACAATGTACTCCAGATTGGGTCGATCTTTCCTTAACAGAAGATATGGTACCGCTGAACAATATGTTTGCCTATTGACTGGTGGTGTCCAATCAGAGACGGGTGGGGGTGTGTGCTTGTGTTTGCATGCATATGTGTGTAGGTGTGTTTGTGCACTCTGCAAAGCCGGTTGGAAATTAACCCAAAGGGTAATTCTTAGCAGTTCTGTATATTTTCCCAGAGCTAACCACTATGAGATACACACCATCGTGCTATAGCTCTGGGTTCCAGAGCATTTCTCAAGCCCAGCTTGGCAAGCCAAGATACACAAGACAATTACACTGCTTTCTGACTCACCTTATGTGCTGGGTGCATTTTTGTTGAACCATAGAGGAGGAGCCTCCAACACTTACCCATCAGTACATTTTCTTTCCATTTATTTGAATGTTGGAATTGTGTACCTCATGTCTCGCTGGTTTCTGGGTTTGGAAACGTACAGGAGGACAAGAAAGAAAGCTCACAGATCTTTAGCTTTGAACCCTTCCCTCCATCCATCCATCCCTCCATCCCTCCATCCCTCCATCCCTCCCTGCTTTCTCTCTAATGGAAGTGGTGGAACCGGAGGAAGAGGGAGCTTATGGAGGGTGAGAATGCCACAGGAGGGAGGTGATTAGCAGAGACCTTTCATTTACTGTATGGTTTCTGTATTACAGTACAGTCGTTTTGTGCCAAACATTTTCTCCATGGAAGGAATGCCTTCTTAACCAGTTCCATGTGAATGGGTTTTCACAGGCAACCACAACCCACTGGTCGGGAGAGGGTTCAGGCTTTAAACAAAGGGGAGAAGTATGTAGTGGACAAAGAGAGAGGGAGGAAGGAAGGGAGGGAGATAAAGAAGAGGAATAAAGAAAGAGAAGAGATTGAGTGAGCGAGACAGGTACAGGGAGAGGGATGGAATGAGAGACAGAGAGATATGTAAATGGAGGAAGGAGAGAAGGAGAAAGAGGGAGACAGGAAGAAAGACAAAGAGGGAGGACGCAGCACTAAATAGTGTTGTTGTTTTCTTCTGTTTGGGACCGTCTGTCTTCAAAAGGGTCCAAGGGGATACAGAAGTGTCAGAGATCAGTACCCAGAATGTGTTCCCATGTTCAGACAGCTATGTTCCTAGCCTTAGCCAAGCTGTTATCCACTCCATTTGGTATGCACATCAATCAACAAGGAATCATATGACTTAATAATGTCTAGCAGTAGAGGGACTTGTGAACTAAACAATGTGGCTTTGGGTTTCATGTGAGTAGGGTTGTAAAATTCCAGAACTTTCCCAAAATTCTCTGGTTTTCCAGAAATCCCGGTTTGAAAATTCCTGGAAATAGGAGGAAATAAGAAAGAACTATGGGAATCCTCCAACGAGGATTTCTGGAACACCTGAGAATTTTGGGAAAGTTACTGGAATTTGCAACCCTACATATGAGACAAAGGCTTATATTTTCTACAAAACTTTTCCCTGACACAACAAGGCATTGCTGGAGTTACAGTTGAAGTCGGAAGTTTACATACACCTTAGCCAAATACATTTCACAATTCCTGACATTTAATCCTAGCAATAATTCCCTGTCTTAGGTCAGTTAGGATCACCACTTTATTTTAAGAATGTGAAATGTCAGAATAATAGTAGAGAGCTTTTATTTATTTCATCTCATTCCCAGTTGGTAGCATTGCCTTTAAATTGTTTAACTTGCGTCAAACGTTTCGGGTAGCCTTCCACAAGCTTCCCACAATAAGTTGGGTGGACTTTGGCCCATTCCTCCTGACAGAGCTGGTGTAACTGAGTCACGTTTGCCCACACATTTTCTATAGGATTGAGGTCAGAGCTTTGTGATGGCCACTCCAATACCTTGACTTTGTTGTCCTTAAGCCATTTTGCCACAACTTTGGAAGTATGCTTGGGGTCATTGTCCATTGGGAAGATCCATTTGCGACCAAGCTTTAACTTCCTGACTGATGTCTTGAGATGTTGCTTCAATATATCCACATCATTTTCCTTCCTCATGATGCCATCTATTTTGTGAAGTGCACCAGTCCCTCCTGCAGCAAAGCACCCCCACAGCATGATGCTGCCACCCCCGTGCTTCACGGTTGGGATGGTGTTCTTCGGCTTGCAAGCGTTCCCCTTTTTCCTCCAAACATAACGATGGTCAATATGGCCAAACAGTTCTATTTTTGTTTCATCAGACCAGAGGATATTTCTCCAAAAACTACGATCTTTGTTCCCATGTACAGTTGCAAATCGTAGTCTGGCTTTTTTTATGGCGGTTTTGGAGCAGTGGCTTCTTCTTTGCTGAGCGGCCTTTCAGGTTATGTCGATATAGGACTTAGATAATTTTGTACTTGTTTTCTCCAGCATATTCACAAGGTCCTTTGCTGTTGTTCTGGGATTGATTAGCACTTTTCGCACCAAAGTATGTTCATCTCTAGGAGACAGAACGCGTCTCCTTCCTGAGCGGTATGACGGCTGCGTGGCCCCATGGTGTTTATACTTGTGTAGTATTGTTTGTACAGATGAATGTGGTACCTTCATGTGTTTGGAAATTGCTCCCAAGGATGAACCAGACTTGTGGAGGTTTAAAAAAAAAAATCTGAGGTCTTGGCTGATTTCTTTTGATTTTCCCATGATGTCAAGCAAAGAGGCACTGAGTTTGAAGGTAGGCCTTGAAATACATCCACAGGTACTCCTCCAATTGACTCAAATGATGTCAATTAGCCTATCAGAAGCTTCTAAAGCCATGACATAATTTTCTGGAATTTTCCAAGCTGTTTAAAGGCACAGTCAACTTAGTGTATGTAAACTTCTGACCCACTGGAATTGTGATACAGTGAATTATAAGTGAAATAATCTGTCTGTAAACAATTGTTGGGAAAATTACTTGTGTCATGCACAAAGTAGATGTCCTAAATTTGTGGAGTGGTTGAAAAACAAGTTTTAATGACTCCAACCTAAGTGTATGTAAACTTCTGACTTCAACTGTATATGAGGCCACAGGATGGGAGGAATATTCCCAAGTAATGTATTGTTCAGAGTGTGTCTTCTGTCTTCCCACTCCCTAATGAAGACATTACAGTCCAAACATTAAATCACACTTCAAAGAAGAGAAGAGTGTGATGTTATTTATCTTTCCAATATGTTATATCTCCATTAGTTATCACCTAATGAGAACTTGTTCTCAACTGGCTTACCTGGTTAAATAAAGGTGAAATAAAAATAAATAAAAAATAACCCAGCTTTTGATATAAAGTAAATTAGTTATCCGATTTCAGACGGGGTTAGAATACCAACGAAGTCATGATTGAGTTTCTAAGTACATTCAAACCAAAGGTCTATATTTAGAGTAAAATTAGGTATATTGTAAGAAGTAGCCAGCTGTTTGAAGTTGCTTGGCTTTACTATAGTACATAATCACAACAAGATGTACAGTATGTGAAAACATGCAAACATATAGGAGACGTCAAACAGCGCACTAAACACTATTCATGCTCTTTATACATACATTTGAGAGTTCATGACTTCCGCTGTCCGCACCCGTGACAAATTTACACAATTTACCCATAATTGCAGAAATAATAAGTAATTAATATATTTTCCGAAGAGACTCGCGCTGCAGTTCACTTACAGTTTCTCTTCCCAAGAGAAAACAAATAATGTCCTCATTTTCTCCCTCTAACAGTGATTTTTGTTTTACGACCCAAGGCACACACAGTTGAGACGGATGCAAAGGTTAAATGTTTGTTTGCTCTGGGAGATTTTACTTCATTGGATCACTCTGTTGGGGGCGGCAGGTAGCTTAGTAGTTAAGAGCGTTGTGCCAGTAACCGAAAGGTTGCTGGTTCTAATCCCCGAGCCGACTAGGTGAAAAATCTGTCGATGTGCCCTTGAACAAGGCACTTAACCCTAATTGCTCATGTAAGTCGCTCTGGATAAGAGCGTCTGCTAAATGACTAAAATGTAAATGTAAAACTGTGACTGACAACAAAAGGACAACTGTGTTTCTGAGGGGTTGGCTGTAGTTTCCGAGCACGCTGCGCACAAAAGGCATGCTAATAGCAGGAAACTGTAAATATGGCCAGAGACACTGACCACACAACGTAGGGTCAATCTGTGCTGCTGTCAATCTGGACTATACACTACTGTAGATACAAGCTCAGTATGCATCCCAAATGGCACCCTGTTCCCTGTGTAGTGAACTGGGCCCTGGTCAAAATTAGTGCACTATAAAGGGAATAGGGTGCCATTTGGGACGCATCTCAGTCACCATGGATGGGTCAATCTAAGCCGGAAAGGCTCGATAACAGCTATTGCAGTTGTTAGGGACGGTGACGACTGTGTGAGGTTAGGACAGATGTGAACAAGAAGACATTGGGCGACATTTTTATAGTGCAAAATAATTGTGCAAACCACTAAAATTACCATGAACCTCATTAAATTCTAGCAGCATGATTCAATTTGAAACTTTTCTTCAACAATTGATTTTATAAAGAGGTGACTATTTATGTAATGCTTAGTTTATTAAATAATCGGCTCCTTATAACGCACATTGTTGTTGAAGAAAAGTTTCAAATTAAATCACACTGCACGATTACAATTAGGTTTAGGGTATTTATTTAACTTTGAACAGTTACTTTGCGCTGCAAAAATGTTGCCCACCACCCTATAGTGTTAGTGCAGACAGACCCTTCAACTGAACTGTCTGAACTGAAGACGTCATGAGGAGGCCAAAGGAACAAGCAACTCCTTAACCTAAAAGAGTCCTGTGTTACTGTTAATATTTCAGAGGAAACCCCTATGTAATGTCCAGCCCAACCTTTTATGATATTTTTCCACAAACATAATCAGTGTTATCCCTTTTCGATTGGTCTCTTGCCCTTTATCGTGCCAGACATATGCAGACACCACAAGCGCACACACAAGCACACCCACACGCACGCACACACACACATACACAAAACGCACTCAAACACGTACAATCACACACTCAGGAGACACACACACACACGCACACACATTTGAATATATAGCACAATAGACAGTGTCATGCCACCCCATGTGTGAACTAATGGACAGAGTTCCAACAATAACGTTTACTCATCTGTCTCAGGAAAAAAACTGCTTGGCCACTCGCTAGCCATAGCAGGAAATCTCTGAAAGCAAATGTACTCCACACACAGGCTCGAATGCACACACACACCACACACACACACACACACTTTTATATTCATCATATGCTGCTGCTACTCTGTTCTTTGTTGTGTTGTGTCGGTATTTGTGTGTTTATGTGCGTTTGTGTTGTCGGTATGCGTGTGTGTGTGTTATGTATGTGTGTGTGTATGTAGTGTATGTGAATGTGTGTGGGTTTTGTGTGAGAGTGTCAGTGTAGTGAGTGTGTATACAGTGTGTAAATACTGTATAGTCTTGTGAGTGTGCACAGAGTCAGTGCAAGATAGGGTCAGTGCAGATAGTTCAGGTAACCATTTAATTAACAATTTAGCAGTCTTATGGCTATTTAGCAGTCTTATGGCTTGGGGGTAGAAGCTGTTCAGGAGCCTGTTGGTCCGAGAGCTGATGATCCGGTACCATTTGCCGGACGCACACAGACATGCATCCTCTCACACAATAGTTGATGTGGTGTCCGAGACAACGATGCTGATTATGCTGTGATGATAAGAATTCCGCTGACGCTGTACTTTGATTATAAAGGTTTATTGTATCAAAGATCACAGTATCAATTTACAGACATCTGCAGATATCTGGAGAATAACCGGACCCAATCTCTGATATGTTATTTCTCCCCGTCCTTTGTTCAAAACATGGTATTTATCCTATGTAACATAAGATGGGTGGTTTTTGACAGACCAATCCCTGGCCTCCACATATCTCCAAATGTCCTCTATTCCAAGAAGCCTATGTAGTAATGCTTTCCAGATGTTTCAGCAAAGCAGAGTAAAGTTAATCTATTACACCATTTGCAAATGTCAGCAAAATCATAGACCTTCAGACACTACATATTTCCCCCCTTCAAGACTAATTAAGTCTCGAAAACAAAAAAGAATAGGATTATGACAAATAACAATTTTTGTTCTTGAGTAACTTCAGCAATAAACCAACATTTATGGAGAGTAAACACATGTTAATAAAGACACATTTTTGTATGGAGTGTAAATACATTGTTATGGAGTGTAAATAAATTGTTATGGAGTGTAAGAGCGAAAAACCTGTCTGGCAGCTTTCATTCCAAATATCCATCAATCAATCAAGACAGGAAAATTCTCTCACGGCCCCTCTGCCCCAGGCGACCACCTAAGTACTCCAGATCAATTTATAAATCTTTATCAATGCATTTTAAACTATGATGCAATTGAATACACATGAAAACCTCAGCAAACAAAATACAATCAAAAATGTCCACATTCAGGCTGGTCGACCCATCGGACCCTCCTGTGGATTCTCTCTGTCCCTGCCTAGACCCAATATCCCTAAGCTTCAACGAAATAAACAAAAACATCTGAGGTCCCCACATGTACCCAACAACAGAAAACATAATTCTTCAAAAATGAATACAGAAAGAATATAACACTGGAATGTAGTCTACTACACTGCAGCTCCTCCACAGTGTCGACTTTCAATGCAACGTCGATGATGGAATCTGAACATTTCCACACCTTCCTTGTTCCACTTCCTCCAGTCCATTCATATTGTCCATGTTTGAGTATTTGAATACCACTCTCCACATCCCCATATACTTCTGGAAGAAAAGAAAACACCAACCAGTATCTTTTGCAAAACAACACATGCAAATTAATACATCAATATCAACAATAATATAAGAATGATATATAAAATGATATATAAGATGAATCACATTCCATTTCCCCCCTTTGATTCATAAGAAAATACTAAATATCACAATAATATGTAAAGACGTAAAACATTATCACACAATCAGATATTGAAAATGTCCTAGAGTTACTTCAACCCTAGTTTTCATAACTTTTTAGTCTGACTTATTATTTAAAAAAAATTCAATTTTTTCAAAAACCATTTCACTGATTTATCCACAAAACTCTTTCCCATTTTCTGAGGATATTAAATCGGGAAATTCCCACCTGCTTATGACTTCTTTTCACAAGAACTTTGCAACCGACTGAGCATATTTTAGCTTAGTTGGACATCTTATGCACCTCTCGGTGTAGGAATGTAACCAAGAATAACAGTCACACCCCTGCAAACATTATTTTTCAGACAGATTGTGCACCTGCCTATGACATAGTCAACCTGTTAAAGCAAATATGGTTCCCAAAAACCATACTCCTTTGTGATCTTTCTCCTAACCTCCCCCCTTGCAACATGACCTATATATCGTATCGGGGAACCATCCGTTTTCTTAAACCCTCAACCTTTCCACACTGCTCCAAACAAATGACATACACTATGTGTGTATGCTAAATCAGTGTATATCGTCACTCGCTTTCCTTCTGCTAACAAACATGCTTCTGTTAGCCCCACAAGTTCAGCAAGTTGTGCATACGCAGGCTGTGGTATTACTTCAGCCTTTTCAACAACAAATCCAGTTCCTTGGGCTTTAACTACCGCATAGCCAGCACACAATTTATCTCCCACACGATAACAAGACCCATCAGTCCAATACTCCAGGTCTGCCTCACGTAATGGAAAGGCTTGCAAATCTGATCTAAGCCTCGAGTATTTCTCTGCTTCTTGGACACAATCATGTGGCTCACCATCCTCTGAAGTTGGCAAATTCTCGGCTGGATTCACCGTATCACACCTCACTAGGGTGACATCTTCCTGTTCTAAGAGCCTATGATAGTCTCTGAGCCTAGGCATAGTCAATGTATATTTTCCAAAGTTCAGAAGATTTCTGAGACTGTGATGGGTAAGAATTGTTACTGGGTAACCCATCGTAACAGATGATGCTTTGTCATACATTAAATATACTCCCACCATTGCTCTGTAGCACAGTGGTAGCCCTAGTTCTACTTCTGAATAGGCAGTAGAGTAGTAGGAAATAGGCTGAGGATTCGTCCCTGTGCCTTTCGGCTGACAAAGAACTGCACATGCATATTTACCTCCAGTAGAAGTAGACACATATAGCAAAACATTCTTAGAGTAGTCTGGTAGTGTGAGTGCAGGTGCCTCCTGCAACCTCTATTTGATCGTTTCAAATGCCACAAGGCCTTCCTGTGTCCAGGAAAGATTGCTATGGAGTTGACCACTTCCAGTATCCTTAACCATAGCTCTCAAAGGTCCCGTCAAACTAGCATAGCTCTCAACCCAAGCTGAAGAATAACCAGCAATACCAATAAATGTCATCATCTCTCTGACAGTTCTAGGCTTCGGAGCCTTACGAATAGTTTCCAATTGACTATCCGAAATACTTCTGTATCCATGCGTTATTTTCTGACCCAAATAAACAACCTTCTCCTGGCAATATTGCAACTTTTTCTGTGATACCTTATGCCCCTTTTCTGCCAATACCTGTAGCAATTTAATTGAGTCTCTATGACATGTTTCCTTATTCTGTGAGCAGATAATTATATAATATACATACTGAATGACAGTGCTTTGCAATATCTGATCTATCCCTACCAAATCATCCTTCAGTACTTTATTGAAAATGTGGGGGCTATGCCTGTACCCCTGTGGCAAATGACTGTACTCATAGAACTGTCCCATATATGTGAACCCAAATAAACCCTGACTTTCTACACTAAGTGGAACACTAAAAAATGCACCACATAAGTCTACCACTGTAAAATGTGTCGCATCAGGAGGAATTTGGGCTAACAAGGTATGCGGGTCTGGCACTTCCGCTGGAAAGTCAGTCACTACCTCATTCACCGCTCTTAAATCATGAACCACACGATAAATTTCATCTGATTTTTTCACAGGCAACAAAGGTGTGTTACTCTGAGGATTTTTTGTTGTCCTTAAAACACCTGCTTTCGAAAGTCCTTTAATTTGTGGTTCGATTCCTTGGATTGCTTCATCTTTCAATGGATACTGATTCTTCCAAGGAGGTCTGGCTCCTGGTCGAAGTTCAACTTTCACCGGTTGGGCTGATTTCACAAGTCCAATATCGGTACTGTGTTGAGACCACAAACATTCTGGAACTTGTTGCAACATCTCCTCTGTCATAAGGTCTGAATCCATCTTCGCACTGCAAATAGATTCATGTGTCATCCGTACAGCTTGTGGCTCTCCTTGTCCTTGAGCCGAAATCATTATTTTGAGAAATCGCTGATCTTCACTCCTCCAAATCGCCAAATTCTCTTTCATCGGTACGAAAACAGCTTTCTCTGCTTCTGTCATAATTTCTCCTATTTGCTTCTGCTCATAGCCTTCAGAAACCAACAAGGTCACATGTGGCACACTCTTCTCAATCTCAAATTCTTTATCCAGATAATCATCTGTGTTTATCTTCATAGCTGCTCCTTGTGGTCCTAAAATTATGCAACATGAGCTGAGTTGAACTTTCTTTGGTTGATGACCTCTGAGTCTGATTGGGCAGCATTCTTGAAATACTTGAGCGTACAATGAAATGGATATTCCGGAAGCCTCGCATCTGGCATGTTTGTCACAATGAATTTCTCCCATATCTTAGCCTGCTTCAAAAAATCTTCACTGAGATTCCCAATCCAGAATACTGAAGAAGAATCCATCTCTGTCGTCATCAACAATTGGTAAACCTTTTCCTTTGGCACTTCTACCAGACAGCCGTCTGGTGTACATTTTATTGTAGAGTTCAATTTACACAATGCATCTCTTCCCAACAATGCAATAGGTGTATGTTCTGATACCAGTATGGGTATTGTAATTTTCTGATTTTCATAGCAGAGCTCAATTGGTTCCGTAAGAGGAATCAGCTGTTTCACTCCCTCAAATCCGATTGTCCTAATTAGTTGATTGGACATAGGGAGATGTGTAGCATCTTCAGGCCGAACACAGGTAAAAGCAGCTCCGCTATCCGCCATCACTTCCAATGGTCGTTTGTTTACTTTCACCTCAATTGTTGCATCTTTTTCTGGTCCTGATGCTACCAGCTGACACCCCCCTTTCGGATCTTCTGGGCACCTCTAGAATCCTTGCTCCGGGCCCCTATAAGGGTTCACCGGTCCTCCAGATGATCTTGACTGGCCCCTGTATCTTCCTCTGAAATTCCCTCTGGTGTTTCCTCCAGGCCCATTACACTCACGGGCAAAGTGACCAACCTGTCCACAATTATAACACACTTCTGAAGATTGCTGGATGTATGGCTTAAATTTTCCTCCTCTTCCTCTTCCTAAGCCTTCTCGTCCTCTTCCTCTCCAATTCTGTCTCTGTCCAGAAACTGGCTGTGGATATGAAACAACTGGTACCGCTATTGGTGGCTGGTACAATTGCGGTTGGAACTGGTTCGGTTGAAGCTGTGGCAGTGATTGTTGATTTGGTGCACACTGATTCTGCATAACCAAAGCTTGTTTCTTCTCCTTCTTATTCTCCACCAGTTGTATTTGATTGAGTTTTCTGAGAGTTTCTTGGTCCTGTTCTTTCTGGTTGTGTTCCTTTTTCCGGTACAGATCCACTTGATGGGCTATATGATCTGTATAGACACCTTTTGTCATGCTTCCAAGTCCAACCACCTCTGCCAGTTTGCTCCTTACTGGTGAGGGCAGTCCCATCTGTAGTTTAGCTCTCAAAATTGACTGCTCAATTTGACTCATATCTGGATCATTTCCGGTAATATTTCTCCACACTTGATGAACTCTTGACACATAGGCTCTCGGATTTTCTTGTTGTCCTAGTGGGTCAATCAGAATGTTGTCAGGATGCACATTTGTTGGAAACGTATATTTCAGTGCTCTCCACAGCCGATTTCTACTTGCAGCCAACAATTCAGGATCATTCACCGCAGTCCCCACATATTGATGAAGTCCAGCTCTCTGAAAAATTTCTCCCAAACCTGGAATCCCAAGGAGATTAGCCAAAAGTCCCTTAATGTCTCCTATGGCAGACTGTGTTCCCACCATAATTTCTTCCAATTTCGAAATCCAAGGATATGCTCCATCTTGAAGAGTAGGCAGCTTCTCAAGTATATCTGACATATCGGTATTCTGCAAAGGCTTATACTCCAGGTTCTGTCCTCGAATTATCACTGGCATCATCTTGTTACTTGTGCTCCCTTCATTGTAGGATAAATCCTCTTGAACATGATATGAAGCACCTTTAATCTCCAAGTCTTCATCGCTGTCTCCATCTTCACTTTCATCAGAACTCGAATCTCTTGTATTCTTCTTCTTCCAACTTCCATCACCCCTTCTTTCCGCTCTGGCCAACCTCTGTCTGATCACAGGGTCATATCCACCCATGATCTCTTCTGAATCACTCTGATCATCATCATCATCATCTTCAAGGTCCATCCTCCTGAACCTCACTCCACCCTTAGTTTCCAGACATCTCGTTTTCTTCTTACTTTTGGAGTTTGGATTCATCTTTATGGTTGTTTCTGCTTGTCCTCTCTCTATTATTCGTTCATCTTCATCTCTGATGCAATAATCACCCTCCTGAATGATCATTGGAAGCTGAGGATAGACGTCCTTAAACTCTACTTCTTCCTCGTAAGGTGGGGGTCTTTTTGCTGAATCCATATGTGAGAAAGGTGTATTGACTTCTGCCATTAGTTTTTCTGTTATCTTCACCTCTTTTGCCATTTTCTCTATAACCTCTCTCTCTTTAATCTTTTGTACCTTTTATCAGTTTTTGTCCTTCATTTTCAAACAGCTTAAGAACACCCAGCTCTCTTTGTCTATTTTCTTTACGTTGTTCCCCTTTTTTCCCCTTCTTTTGATCTGCCTTATACGTGGATACAAGTACTTTCATTATCTTGATGACGTCTGGGTTAAGAGTCCCTTCCACTGGCCATGGTTGTTCAATGTCAGGCCAACGTTTATTCCATTTTCCAGATAACCTTGCAATACCATTAACTAGAGGATTACTATTTTGTACTACATCAACAGGAGTAATTACTTTCGTAGTTTTGATGTCCTTTTTCCCCATTGTAAAAACTCTTTTATATTCCTTTATTGTGAATTATTTTATTATTATTATTATTATTATTTTAAACCAATTAATTTGTAAACCAAAAATACTTTAGACTATGTAGCTTATGTTTCCCTCCTTTTTTAATTGTTTTATTTATTTATTTATTAATTAATTAATCAATTAATTAATTCATCAATATATTTTTATTAATTTATTAATTTATTAATTTATTAATTTATTAATTTAATTAATTCATTTTTATTTATTATTTTACCAAATTATTGATTAGTGGCAATCTTACCACATCCGATCAGGAAAAGTAAAGGAAAGTAGTCAACTTCAGAGCAATCCAAAAAAGAAAGACCTGTTATCCAGCAACACTACAGCACTCACAAACCAATTGCTTAATAATCACCCAATTACCTTAATTTTACAGAATAATGTCAGTGCTAGATTTCCAACACAACTCTAATCAAAACAACTCATTCACAAAAAACCCAATGTGCAATTATCAATTACATCAATTCATCAGTCTGTTGCCAAGTCCCTGTGAAATTGGTCACAACATGAAATATTCTAGGCACACACAATATCCTGTATGGGAAAGTAGGTTTTGTGGATAGAACAGTACTGGCCTTAATTGGACTGGATCCGGGCAGCACACACTGTCGCGTGACGTACTGGTCAGCACCTCCTCTCTCTCTCTGTCTCCTCCTTCTCGTCTCTCACATGACAGGAGAACAAAGAAAACAGACAACAATTTAGTATTTTATGCATACCTATGTTCACATTCTCGCTAAGAAAATAGCAACAGGTAACGCAGAATATTTAATACGCAATAACATTTTTATTTTATTTATTTATTTAATTATTATTATATCTATATCTATATTAGATATATATTTTAATCCGTCAACTATCTTCTCAGTTCCATCAATTCAATAGATCTCAATCAAAAGTTTCATAGTCAGCAACGCCGATTTTACAAACAGAATACTTTTAATAGTATGTAAGTCTCCCCCGCCCTCGTCTCTCTGCTCTGATTCTGCATCTCTCCCGCACTCAGTGTAGCAGGGAGTGGCCCTTTGTGCTCTACGAACTCTAAACTATAAACTCCTCCCCCTCATGCTTATTCATTCACCAATGCGATTTTTCATCAGTGAAAGGAAGGCCTCCCCAGCTAAACAACAGAAGGCAGACAGAGCAGCTGTCCCTCTGTAGCTCAGCTGGTAGAGCACGGCTCTTGTAATGCCAGGTAGTGGGTTCGATCCCCGGGCACTAATTGAGACGTTAGAAAGTTGCGAAGTGGAGGTACCACCCATACCAAACATTTATGCCCCCAACTTATAGTCGCTTTGGAGAAAAGCGTCTGCTCAATTGCATAGTTGTGATTATTATTTCCAACACAGACAACACTACCCTTAACAAAACTCCACAAACCAACACAGAACATCAGAACACAAATCCCTACTTCGAAGTTCTTATCTTCACTTATTCTAATCTGCAGATTTATAGTTATTTTTCCTTTATCAATTACAAAACATCTCTATAAACTCTTAAAAAGTCCGCCCTGTAGGCTCATTATATTCTAATAGTTGTAACGTCTCTCTTTTACTAGATACTCTAACGTTTTTTACTTAACTTCCTTTCCATGGGGGGGGCTCATATATAGTTACATTATTAACATGCTCACCAATGGAGACCTCATAAGATTTGTTTAAAACCGTAACTTACATATTCCTTATGAAAACAAAAACCCCTGTTCTCACCAAAAAATAAATATGTATATATCTCTAACATAAATCTTATCATAACATGAGTCGACACACAGCTGAAACACAACAGAGACGTCTTTATTTTTTTTTTTCCGCACACACACACTCTCTTTCCTAACACACACACATGAAAAGAATGCATCCATTCATACGGTCCTCTAAAGCGTGCTACCGTCGCTCCTTATTTCTCATTGTTCCTGCCTAAATTTCTGCTACCACGAGTTGCAGATATTCAATGAGAGGTTACTTCGAACATATACCTCGTCAACTATATGTCGAAGGGGGTAACATGCAAATGAATGTATCTTCCACAACTCCAGTTCCCAGAACTGATCCGAAAGTTCACTCTAGGATTTACGGCCCATCCTAATGATCGCCTCTTTTGAGGGCTTCCTTAAATCAGCGACGTCCTAGTCGTATACTTTTTCCTTATTTCCTGGCCTTATTCCTTCATGCTATTCCTGGACACTCCTTTTAATTTATTCAAGCCAAATATCTGTGTGCCCAGTGTTAACAATTCCCCCTGTTTGCGTTGTTTTCAACGCAAACAAATGTAGAAATTTAGAACGGATTCTTTCCCACAGCAAATAACAGCAAAGTGCACACGCAAGTTCCAAACGGTACATCCGCTCAACGCACACACACACAAGCACACGAACCGACCAGCGGCCAAAGTGGTGAGAAATCCCACCTTATTTGCCGGCGTCTTGAGCGGGAGTCACTTCGTAGCTCATGAATGGAACGCTGGAGAGACGCAACACGTTCCCAAAGGTCCTCGTCGCCATTCTGTGGTGTCGAGACAATGATGCTGATATGCTGTGATGACAAGAAATCCGCTGACACTGTCCTTGATTATAATGGTTTATAACATAAAAGATTACAGTATCAATTTACAGACTCCTGCAGACATCTGGAGGACAACTGATCCAATCTCTAATATGTTATTCCTCCCCGTCCTTTGTTCCAACCATGGTATTTATAATATGTAACATAATATGGGTGGTTTTAATAGACCAATCCCTGGCCTTTACACATCTGAATCTCCTCTGTCTTAGGGGGCCCCTATAGTAATGTTTTCCAGATGTTTCCGCAAGCAGAGCCAAATTCCTCTAACACACCATTTGCAAAATGTCAGCAAAATCATAAACTGTTTAGATACTACATATTTCCCCCCTTCGAGACTAATTAAGTCTCGAAAACAAAAAGAATAGGATTATGACAGATCTTGTGTAACTTTAACAATAAAACAAAATGTATGTAGTGTGAACAAATTTTTATGAAGTGTAAACAAATCGTTATGGAGTGTAAGAGCGAAAAACCTGTTTGCAAACGTCAGCAAAATCATAAACTGTTTAGATACTACACCCCTTTAAAGGTGCCACAGGCCTATTGATAGCGGTGAGCTTTTAGCCTATAGCTAAATCTGTATGTAGTTTATTGGTAATCCTCAGTGATTTAATTCTCACTTGATCCAATAAGACTTAGTATGGAAAATCTACATCTTACCGGGTCCCTTGCTAGTGTATAGTCAGGAATTAATCTTCGTGCTCTACTTTTGAAAATTACTTTTGTAAATAGTGACGAAAAAAAGTACTATTGTGCCTCCAACCTCCTCTGTTTTTGTTATTAGAATGCCGCCTTGGATACTGTTCTGTTTCAAGTATCTGCCAAAGACGCCGACGCTGGACTCGCCGCTGTTGTAAGGTACAGCATTGACGAGGTAAGCGTTACTTTTGAACACAATTCAGATTTTCTGTATCGATACACAAGTGAACCTGAAGCGAAACATCAACAGTGAACGTAGAACCACGTTACATCCCCAACATTAGTCATGTAGCAGATAATAATAATAAAAGCCCTTCTCAACAGACATTGGGGCAAATTAAAAACAGACTCCATTTTATTTCAACCCAACTCTCTCCTCATTTCTAGGCTAGTCCAAGTGATGGACTGACTCATTTTCTTATCAATGAGAATAATGGCGAAGTCAAACTGACTAAAAAACTGAGTTTTACCAGTTTGAGCACTTTCTATCAGCTGAAGATCAAAGCAACTGTAAGTAGCCACTTCTCAACACTTCTCTCTATTCGCTGTTGTATCTTCACTAGTCACTCTCACTTGTCACTCATTGGAAGCGGTTTTCTAGATTCCTGACAAAAAAAAGTTAATTCTAGGATTGATCGTGCTTTTTGGTCCAGTTGTGGGCTTAATCTGAGAAACTGGCGTTTGTGATTGTGTTTACCCCTCACAGGATGGTGGAGGCCCTGCGTATAATGGAGATACTGTTTATCAGTCCAACACTGCCTTTGCCTTCATCACCGTAGTGGACGTCCCAGACCTGGATCCCCAGTTTCTAAGCACTCCTTACGCGACCGCTGTCAATGAGCATTCTCCCGTGGTGAGTCAAATTCAATGGCACTTTCCCTTTAGTACAGAGCTCAACCGCCTCAGGATGTGAAACAATTCTCACACCGTGTGTTCTACCAACAGCAAAGTCCTTTTTTTATTTGTTTGTTGTTGTACACGTCAGCAGTCCTGTATCTATTCCTAAATAGATAAACAGTTGTAAAAGTAAAGGTACGGACCAATAAAGTCCCAAATGGCACCCTATTCCCTATCTGGTGTACTACTTTTATTCAGGGACATTTACAACTTTTGGGGTGCCAAATGGGACAAAGCCTTTGTTGACGTCAGCCTTGAACTCTACTGTGTCTCTTTTTCATTTCAGGGCCAGTCTGTGTTTAAAGTGCGCGCAATTGATCAGGACACAGGAATCAATGATGACATCACCTACAGCATTGAAGGTGAGCAAAACTACATCTCTGAAACATCTGCTCATTTCAGGTTGTTAGCGGAACATCAGCATAAACACTGTCTATTGCCATTGTGCTGACAACTCTTTAAAAAAAAAATTACACCCTTTTTCTCCCCAATTTCGATCTCATCGCAGCAACTCCCCAACGGGCTAGGGAGGCAAAGGTCGAGTCATGTGTCCTCCGAAACATGACCCGCCAAACCGCGCTTCTTAACACCTGCCCTCTTAACCCGGAAGCCAGCCGCACCAATGTGTCGGAGGAAACACCGTTCACCTGACGACCGAGGTCAGCCCGCATGTGCCCGGCCCACCACAAGGATTCGCTAGAGCGCGATGAGCCAAGTAAAGCACCCACCCCGGCCAAACCCTCCCCTAACCCGGACGACGCTGGGCCAATTGTGCGACGCCCCTATGGGACTCCCGATCACGGCCCGTTGTGATACAGCCCGGGGTCGAACCCGGGTCTGTAGTGACGCCTCTAGCACTGCCATGCAGTGCCTTAGACCTCTGCTCCATTCGTGAGGCCCCGTGCTGACAACTCTTGAAAATATAAGGGGGGGAAAAAAAATCTAATTTGTTGGTATAATGATGAAGATTGGACTCTGATATATGTTTTGTTATTTTGCAGGTACCAATGACCTGTTTGAGATCGCAGCCAGTGATGGAATCATATCTGTCAAAAGTGATATTGACAGAGAGGCTTTGTTGGACATCAATTTTGGCGTTGTCCTTGAAGTGACGGTGTGCTCTTATTGGTTAATCCTTCACATCATTTCCAACAGTCGTTATCCAAAAGACAATATTTAATTTTCGAGCTGACCTACTGTTAATAAAACTATAATTCCAGGCAACGGAGGTGAATCCAAGTGTCCTGGGGACCCAAGCCCACACCGCTACTGAGGTGCGGATTACCATCGGTGACATCAACGACAACAAGCCTAAATTTTATAGCTGCGGCGTGAATCCCTCCGATCCCTGCGTGGAGGCCAGCAGCTTCACGGCCAACATCTTTGAGCACTCATCCATGGGTGTTCCAGTCAACGGCCTCAACATCAAAGCCAAAGATCTGGATCAGGTCAGAGCCCTTTATAATAAATAGGGTTGCAACATTTTCGGATTTTCTATAAATCCTGGTTGGAAGATTCCCGGAATTAGGAGGGAAAAAGGAATAATGAATAATGAAATCTGGAATCCTCTGGATTACTGGAAAACCTGGAAAACCTGGGCATTGTTGGAAAGTTACCTTAAATTTGCAACCCTAATCACAAAATGTATTTTTTTTTATAAATAACTGTGAAATTCATGTGGGGACCAGTGTTTACTCAGACCTGAAAATCGATCATCTGTATTCTGATGTAGGGAGAAAATGGAACATTCGAACTAAGCCTTGCTGGACTAGACAAGGATGCGTTCAGTGTGTCGCCACAGATTGCCGACTCAGAAAGCCTAGTTCAGATCATGGTCAAGAACTCCCAGGATGTGGACTACGAGACGAAGACATCAATGGTTGTCCAGGTAAAAAGTACAACTTCCAAAAAAAAAAAAAAAGCGTCCCAGATGACACCCTATTCCCTATTTAGTACACTACTTTTCACCAAAAGAAGGGTACTACAGTATGAAGGGAACAGGGTGCCATTTGGAACAAAGTCTTTATCGTCCAGGTAATGTGGGAAATGTCTTTACTGTAATTTGATTGACTAACACCAAAGACTAACGCCATTGTCAAATCCTCAAGAACCACCTTTTGTCATCATAATCATTCAAATACATTTGACAACATTTTCAAAAGAAGATGTGTGACAAGTTGATTTGAAGAATTCAACCAGATAAACTAAGTGGTTTGGAATGTGTCCAATGCCAGAATTAAACCCAGCGTAGCTGAAACAGGGTTTGTGTAGTTAAGACGGGCAAACATCCATAGGATCCATTGCACACAGGGTGATTACTGCTGTTCAAGGAGGTAGCATTGCACCCTTCACACGGTATAGCCAGGTGAACTTCGAACACGCGAGAGACATGTAATGGTCTCTACCAGTCCGGTTGCCAAGCTGCAGACCATGGTATAATGACACCGCATGATCAGCAATACATTGTACACAGAATTATTTTGGGACGATCATATCACCATTTTCAAAAACCAACACTCTGTTTCAAATGGCACCCTCTTCACCAAATAGTGCACAGCTTTTTAACATGAGGTTTACTTATTGATATTCACCACAAAGAACAACATTCTTACTCTGTCTGAAAGCGTGTGTTTAAAAGTGAGGTAAGTCGTGGTTGTTTTTCCTGTGCAGATTATCGCCAAGGATCCCTCCAATACGGTCGACTGCTGTTCCATGGCTATAGTCACCATTCAGATCACAGACGTTAATGACAACAGCCCCACGTTCCCCCACGAAACCTACAACATCAAGGTTGATGAGCACAGTGCTAATGGAACCACTGTGGGCACGATAACAGTAGGTCCCATGTTATTGGTACCAGTCTAACAGTAGGTCCATGTTATTGGTACCAGTCTAACAGTAGGTCCATGTTATTGGTACCAGTCTAACAGTAGGTCCATGTTATTGGTACCAGTCTACAGGTCCATGTTATTGGTACCAGTCTAACAGTAGGTCCATGTTATTGGTACCAGTCTAACAGTAGGTCCATGTTATTGGTACCAGTCTAGCTGGAATACAACCTATGTGCAAATGCGCACTGTGTATTTGATTTGAACAGTGTCTTAAAGTATCCGGTGTTAACTCACTCAACCCAGGAGACACCGCTATGTAATTCAAAAAACACTTGCAATAAAATGTGAATTGGCCTTTGTTTAAATTATAGCCTCTGTTTCGGGTTGTTGCTGCTAAATGCATTGGAAATACAAACACAAAACTCTACTCCCCCCCCAGGCAACCGATCCCGACACTATGGATGTTGGCAACATCAGATACAGACTTCTTCCAGACAGCGTGTACGTACACTGCAAGCCATTATACTGTATGCTTTCTTATGTCTTTATGATTCTGTATTAATTTACTTCCCTTTATAATAGGCTTTCATACAATGTATAACTTTTGATGTTGTCTGACGTTGGGGTGCCAAAGTTAGTGAAACGAGACCCAATGCATGAGAACTATAAACTGAAAGGGATTTCTGATTTTTCAGACTAAAGTACTTCGATGTGAATGCAAGGACAGGGAGGATCTTTGTGACAAACAGCAAACTGATTGACCGCGAGGTGATCTCCCTGCATTCTCCAACTCTGCAAGCAAGAGACCAGGCCAACAACACAGGGACCACTGTGTTAGAAATCGCACTGACAGACATCAACGACCAGACACCACAGTTCAACAGAGAATCCTACGTTGACTATGTGAAAGAGGGCTCAAACCTGAGAATTCAAGTACAGGTCAGTATCTGCGTCTCTATTCAAGTGGGTTTCAAACCTCTCCTCAGACGTTTCATAATTCTGTTGTAGCCCTGAACTAGCTCAACTGATTCACCTAATCAAGTGCTTGATGATTTATTTGACAAGTTGAATCCAAGTGTGGAATAAGCATTGTAGATAAGAATTTGTTCTAAATTGACACCTGTATCAATAAAGGTGAAATAAATAAAAAACATGGAACGCCTGGGGGTCCCCGACGAGAGGTTAGCTAACCCCTGCTCCACACCACAGTGTGTCCAACTCATTCCACGGAGGGGTGAGAGCTTGCAGGTTTTCACTTATCCCTTGGACTTGATTGATCAATTAAGGTCAGTGATTAGTAAGGTCAGTGATTAGTAAGGTCAGTGATTAGTAAGGTCAGTGATTAGTAAGGTCAGTGATTAGTAACGTCAGTGATTAGTAAGGTCAGTGATTAGTAAGGTCAGTGATTAGGTAGGAACTCCCCTCACCTGGTGGTCTAGGTCTTCATTTGACACAAATTGAAAGGATATAACAACATCCAGCAGCCACTGGGGCCCTCCATGGAATGAGTTTGAGACCTCTGCTCTACACGCAGTAACCAAAGGGTTAAAACCGCTCTACAGCTGACCCCTAGACCCGTAGACCCGGAACATTCCAGTAACGTTCCTAAAATTCCCAGGTTTTTGTAAAATCCAGGAATCTTCCATCTGGGATTTCTGGAAAACCTAGGAATTTGGGGAAAGGTTACCAGAATTGTGCTACCTAGGTTGTTGATGATTTTCTTCCTCCTTCTCGTTTTTCAGGCTACTGACGGAGATGAGTCACCCAACAGCGAGATCGAGTACGGAATAGTGACCAGTGACTACAGTGCCAACTTCACCATTGACCCCACCACAGGCTGGTTGGAGAACAATGGCCCGCTAGACAGAGAGGCCATGCAGGACAAGGATAATGGGCAGGTTAAGTTAAACGTGACAGCAACTGACAAAGGCAGCCCACCACTGTCCACCTGGGGGCCAGTCGTCATCAATGTGGAGGTAAGATCACCGTCCATCTCTCACAAACCTTTGACAATGAATGGAACAAGTGCACAGACAGGGTGTATTGGTACCTGGGCACACCCCCTTTTATTCATTTTGATTTAGAAGGCTGTACTGATCCTAGATCAGCATTTTTTACTCTGAGAAGCTTTATGCAAATGGGACCAGACCTTGTATCTGTTTTTAGACTGGATAGATCTTTCGACAGATTGATTGGTGCAGTTTTTAATGTGTCTTCTGGAGGTGATCAGAAGTATGAGGAAGGCTCCTTGTATCTTTGTCAACCTCATGAACATGCGTTGTAAAAAAAAACTTAGCTGTCTTCTACTTTCCAACCTAGGACATCAACGACAACATACCGAAGTTTAGAAAAACTTCTTACACATTCTCAGTGGAGGAGGGTAAGAAAGGTAAGCGCGTTTCTTTTTGTTGAAATCAGACATTTTGCCGCCATTACCCTGATTAAAACTCCAGGGAGGATGTGGTTTTAGTCCCCCTTCTACTCAGAAAAACACTTGCCATGTTTTCCACTTGCCATGCTGTCATTGTGAATAGGAATTTGTTCTTAACTGACTTGCTTGGTTGATAATAAAGATTTAATCATCTACCAAAACATCTAGCTAATCATGAATTCAAAAACGTAAGGCCGTCTCTGTCTGTCTCCAACAGCTGAATTCGTTGGCTCCGTCCAGGCAGTGGATTTAGACCAAACTATTGACCACAACCGCATCTCCTTCAGCATCGTCAGTGGAAGCTTTGGACAATTCATCATCCGAACCTTCAAAGACAAACCCGACGGTTACATCGGTAACATCACGGTCGACCCGGACATCGAGCTAGACTACGAAAGCAGCGTCAAGACCTTCAGTCTGAAAGCGGAGGCCACGGACCTGGGATCGATGAAGGACACCGTAACCGTGGAGGTGATTGTGTTGGATGTGAATGATGAGAGGCCCCAGTTCAAGCCCATCGGCCCGCTGCTCGTAAAGGAGAACACCACTATCACTGAAGCCGTGGGAAACATCGAGGCGGTGGACCTGGACAGTAATCACTCTCTGGTCTACCAGCTGGTCTCCAGTAGGTGCCGCTGTAATGGCTCCCTGTCGTTGGGCCCCTGCTCAGAGGACTGGTTCAACCTGGAGACCACAGGGGAGATCATGCTCAGCGAGGACTTTGTGATCGACTATGAGATGTGTGAGCAGGTTGAGCTGGAGGTCCAGGTGGTGGATGAGTTCACCCAGAAAGGGGAGAACAACAGCGCAACACCAGGTTGGTTCAACTGGGTTTGGTACTTCTGTTTTGGTCTAGGGTTGTAAAATTCCCAGGTTGAAAGATTCCCTGGGAAAAGACTCCCGGGATCAGGAGGGAAAATGCAGAAACTCCTATTCTGTAACATTACTGTCGTTAATATCTACGTTTGTAACTTTAATATCTTTCTAATCATTTCAAATTAATTTCAGGGCGCATTGTGATCAACATTGAAGACATCAATGACAACGCCCCTGCGTTCGACACAATAGATTCCTTATATGGTAAATATGTTTCTAAACTTCGGCACATTGTATGGTAAATCTGAATACCGTATTTTTTTTCAATATATAATAACAATAAAGTTATTTTATTATATTCATCTAGGTAGCTACAGATTGACTTAACAGTGTTCTTGACAACCTTTTCCCCTCTACAGTTGTGGTGTCAGAGAGTGCCTCTGTAGGCTCAGTAATCGCCAGTGTCACTGTGAGTATAACTGTTTGAAATGTACAACGTCAGTTATTTTCTATTTGATAAGGTATATCAAAATAAGTCCAGGGGCGGGTGTGTTTTTGTTTTGTTTTTGAATCTCAGAATGTAGCTTTAAAAGGTAGACTCTGCAATTTGACATTATACACAATGGGACAGCTTCTTGCTATGCAGAAAACAACAACAACAACAACATTTTAATCTAATATAAAGTATACCTTTTAATACATTTAACTTGCCGGTTGTGATGTGAGTTATGAATTCCAGTCTTCCTTTTTTCCTTCCATAGGCTACAGACCGTGATTCCGGGAAGAATAGGCTAATTACATTTTCGATAACAAGTGTGCAATTCAGGGATGACGTCAACAATAAAACGACTAACGTGGACAGAGTGTTTCGAGTTGTCACCACACAGGAAGACGATAAATACGTTGGAAATATTCAGTGAGTGTACAGTTGAAGGTCGGAAGTTTACATACACCTTAGCCAAATACATTTAAACTCAGTTTTTCACAATTCCTGACATTTAATCCTAGTAAAAATTCCCTGTCTTAGGTCAGTTAGGATCACCGCTTTATTTTAAGAATGTGAAATGTCAGAATAATAGTTGAGAGAATGATTTATTTTCTGCTTTTATTTCTTTCATCACATTCCCAGTGGGTCAGAAGTTTACATACACTCAATTAGTATTTGGTAGCATTGCCTTTAAATTGTTTAACTTGGGTAAAACGTTTCAGGTAGCCTTCCACAAGTTTCCCACAATAAGTTGGGTGAATTTTGGCCCATTCCTCCTGACAGAGCTGGTGTAACGGAGTCAGGTTTGTAGGCCTCCTTGCTCGCACACGCTTTTTCAGTTCTGCCCACACATTTTCTATAGGATTGAGGTCATGGCTTTGTGATGGCCACTCCAATACCTTGACTTTGTTTGTCCTTAAGCCATTTTGCCACAACTTTGGAAGTATGCTTGGGGTCATTGTCCATTTGGAAGACCCATTTCCGACCAAGCTGTAACTTCCTGACTGATGTCTTGAGATGTTGCTTTAATATATCCACATAATTTTCCTTCCTCGTGATGCCATCTATTTTGTGAAGTGCACCAGTCCTTCCTGCAGCAAAGCACCCCCACAGCATGATGCTGCCACCCCCGTGCTTCACGGTTGGGATGGTGTTCTTCGGCTTGCAAGCATACCACTTTTTCCTCCAAACATAACGATGGTCATTATGGCCAAACAGTTCTATTTTTGTTTCATCAGACCAGAGGACATTTCTCCAAAAAGTATGATCTTTGTCCCCATGTGCAGTTGCAAACCGTAGTCTGGCTTTTTTATGGCGGTTTTGAAGCAGTGGCTTCTTCCTTGCTGAGCGGCTTTCAGTTTATGTAGATATAGGACTCGTTTTACTGTGGATATAGATACTTTTGGTACCTGTTTCCCCCAGCATCTTTACAAGGTCCTTTGCCTGTTGTTCTGGGATTGTTTTGCACACCAAAATACGTTCAGCTCTAGGAGACAGAAAGCGTCTCCTTCCTGAGCGGTATGACGGCTGCGTGGTCCCATGGTGTTTATACTTGCGTACTATTGTTTGTACAGATGAACGTGGTACCTTCAGGCATTTGGAAATTGCGCCCAAGGATGAACCAGACTTGTGGAGGTCTACAATTTTTCTTCTGAGGTCTTGGCTGATTTATTTTGATTTTCCCATGATGTCAAGCAAAGAGGCACTGTGCTTGAAGGTAGGCCTTGAAATATATCCACAGGTACACCTCCAATTGACTCAAATTATGTCAATTAGCCTATCAGAAGCTTCTAAAGCTATGACATCATTTTCTGGAATTTTCCAAGCTGTTTAAAGGCACAGTCAACTTAGTGTATGTAAACTTCTGACCCACTGAATTGCGATACAGTGAATTATAAGTGAAATAATATGTCTGTAAACAACGGTTGGAAAAATTACTTGTGTCATGCACAAAGTAGATGTCCTAACCGACTTGCCAACACTCTTTGTGGAGTGGTTTGAAAAACAAATTTGAATGACTCCAACCTAAGTTGTATGTAAACTTCCGACTTCAACTGTAAATGCTGTCCCGCCAAGTCATGTTTTTAATTTCTGATTTTCACTATAATTAATAGCCATTATGCGACAAAAAGTGAAATGATTTGTTAGGTTTTTATGCTGTTAGTTTGGATACAGAAGAATACCAGTCTTTCAACGTTGCAGGAACGATGAAGCGCTAAATATCGATGTTAAGGAAAGTATTTGGTGACGTTGGGGCAAACTAACACTGAAGAAACCGAAACTCTTCTCTGAAACCAAACTGGAGGCAGGTGTAAAACTACTGTAATTCATCAAAGGTGTTGTGGTTACATTAGTGAACATATTTCATTCTCTGTTCTTACTGTTCTCTCTTACCCTCTGTCTGTTCTGTCTGGTCTGTCGTCTGTCCTGTCTGTCTGTCTGTCTGTCTGTCTGTCTGTCGGTCTGTCTGTCTGTCTGTCTGTCTGTCTGTCTGTCTGTCTGTCTGTCTGTCTGTCTGTCCTGTCTGTCGTCTGTCTGCCTGTCTGTCTGTCTGCTGACTGTCCCTGCCTGCCTGTCTGTCTGTCTTCTGTCTGCCCTGTCTGCCCTGCCTGTCTGCCTGCCTGTCTTCCTGCCTGCCTGTCTGTCTGTCTGCCTGCCTGCCTGCCTGCCTGTCTGTCTGTGTGTCTGTCTGTCTGCCTGTCTGCCTGTCTATCTGTCTGCCTGTCTAACACTTTGTTTCATGTTCCCCTCTCAGATCTTCACCAGTTGACAGGAGCTTAAAGTCAGCTTTTGTTTTCAAAAACAGTGGAAGAAGTTAAAGCGGCCCAAAGTCAGATCGTAACTGTAAGAGATCTTTTACTGCATATATTCACTATATTACAAAATGTAGCATGAAAAAGGTAGTAGTAACATAATAAATATAGACATGATAATTATATTAATTAATCTTATACGTTTAACCATCATGTGGAAGTCCATATAGGAAGACTTCAGATTTAAAATGATCGTTGAACAAGTTGTTTTAACCACAGCGCTGGGATCATAACATGAAGAGTACTTTATACAATGTTACCTTAGCAGGATTTCACTGCAGACCAACACAGACGAAAGTGGAAGTTAAGATAGGGCCTGAAACCAGGCAGTCCGGAAACCAGTAGGTTAGGCTGAACCAGGCAGTCCGAAAACCAGGTAGGTTAGGCTGTCCAGGCAGCTCCAGAAACCAGGTAGGTTGTCTGTGAACCAGGCACAGTCCAAGAAACAGGTAGGCTTAGGGCTGAACCAGGCCACGTACGGAAACCAGGTAGCGTTAGGGATGTGATCCAGGCAGCTCGGAACCAGGTAGGTTAGGAGCTGATCCAGCAGTCTGCAAAACAGGTCGGTTAGGCTGAACCAGGCAGTCCAGAACACAGAGTAGGTCTAGGGCCCCTGTGATCCAGACGCAGTCCGGAAACCAGTAGGTTAGGAGGCTGATACAGGCAGCTCCAGGAAACCAGGTAGGTTAGCGGCTGAACCAGCTGTCCGGAAACCAGGTAGGTTAGGGCTGAGGCTGATCCAGGCAATCCGGAAACAAAGGGTTAATGAATCACACGACTACCAGGGCCGCGGGTCAGCTATCCACTTGCAATTCAGTTCAATCAGAAAGTAAACCAAATTCCAAATTCCACATTTTCCTAATTGAGGACAGCATTGAGATAATTGCCGAATTGCGAATTCAGTTTTAGTACTTCCTATTGACTTGGAATTGACCCCACCCCTGACCACTACATACGATCTGTATTCTTCTTCCTTCTGATGAACAAAATAGAGCCACATTACGTCGAGCACCATTCAGTGTGTGTGCTGATCTGTAGTCACGACTCAAGTAGTTTTAGAAATACATCATTAAAAAGAGTGAAAAATTAAGTTCAAAAAAGAAAATCCTTCATCATTTTGCAGGGCGGCTGGCGATACTATAATGGCAAGCGATGTAACTTGTGAATAGCCAATCGGAACGCGCCCCTCGACTCTGACAGTGCCCAGACTATTCGTCCAAGAGTGATGAACGATTCAAATTCACAGAGTGAATATGCCTCGCAATATATCGTAAGTAAACTATTTTTCCCCTAATGCCCTGGACTTACCATACACATAAAATACACATCTATTTCTATAACAAATTTACTTTATTTCTTGGATTTTATGAATCTTCAAGTAGTCTCCCCGAACTCACTGAATTGAATTCTGAATTGTCTCCAACCCGCCGCCTTGGACATGCTCTAAAATGAATATTTCCTACTTGAGCCAGACGTCCCAAAATGAGACCATAATTTCCCGATGTAGTGCACTATATTTGACCAGGCTCTGGGAAATATAGTTGGTGCAACTACATAGGGGCAATAGCATATCCTTAGAAGGACTTCACATGAATGGTTAAACTTAAAAAATGAAATAAATATAAATAAATGTACTTGCCAGTGCATAATGTTACTACATTTTCATTGACTAACGTTTGTAATATAGTGAATAAGCAGTAATATATTATCTTACAGTACGATCTGAAATTTGCGGCCGCTCCTAAAGGAATGTTCCCCGAGCTAGCGGTAGCAAAATTCTGAGGAACTTTCCAGAGTTTTCAGAAAGAAATCCTTAATGGCAAGAATACCTCTTATTCAGTAAGGCAGTAAGCCAATAATTTCTGGAATATCAACGTGATTTTTTTTGAAAACAATGCGGAATTCTGGGCAGAAGTACTGTAATTTTGCAACCCTCTATGAACTCTGTGTGCGTTGTTGCAGGGGGGGACTGTGGTGACAGAGAAGCAGGTGGGTAGGATAACCAGTACTGTTCGCTTCTGCTGGGGCTGGTGGCGGCGCTACATCATCAAGTCCTTGGCTGTCATGACAACATCTATCGTTCACGCACCCGCAGAGAGGTAAGCGGGTAAGTTGAGCACCTGCAGGCCCGTAGTATAAAACGTCTCAGAGTAGAATGATGCCTGATATATGAATCAGTTTTGTCCTGTTAGATTATAATCAGCCGACGTGTAAAGTACTTAAGAGTAAAAAACTTAAAGCTACACTTCAGTAGGTTTTTTTTTGGGGTATCTGCTACTTTACTCTTACTATTTAGATTGTTGACAACTTTAATTTACTCCACTACATTCCTAAGAAAATAATGCTACTTTTTACTCATACATCGTCCAAAAGTAATCCGTACATTTGAATGCTTAGCCAGACAGAAAAATCGTCTAACTTCACGTACTATCAAGAGAACATCCCTGTGTCCTCCCTACTGCCCTTGATAATAAGCGCGGAACCTCACTAAAACACAAATGCCTATAATGTTGTAAATATATGTCTGCACTGTGAAGTGAGTGCCCCCCATGGCTATCCGTAAATTAAATGAACAAGAAAATCGTCCATTGACCGTCTAGGGTTGCTTACTTTAAGGAATTGAAATGATTCATTATACTTTTACGTTAAGACTAAGTATATTTAAAACCAAAATACTTTAGACTTATTACTAAGTAGTATTTTACGGAGCATTTCTTTAACAAAAAAAAGGTATTTTACTTTTCCTTTGAGAGAGTTCGTAAGAAATTTGGAGGGAGGGATTAGAAGTTATGATCAATCTATGTGAAATTCTTTGTAAGACCCAATCAAAAGCAGGATCAATTCAGGTAGTTAGTGTTAGTGTGGTGCTCAGTTGGTAGAGCCAAAAGACTACCAGGGATAGTGGGTCGATTCCCAGGACCCACCCAATGTTTAAAAAAATGTATGCAAGCATGACAAAGTAGCTTTGGATAAAAATACGCAACGGCAACAAATTTAAAAGATTTTACTGCGTTTAACCAGTCATGCAGGAAAGCAGTCAATGAAATGACTTCGTTTAGGCCCTAATCTATGGGATTTCACATGCTTGGATACAGTATGCATCTGTTGGTCACAGATATACCTTTTAAAAATGTAGGGCGGATGAATCAGAAAACAGTCAGTATTCTGGTGTCGACCACAAATTTGGATATTGGCGGGAACTGGAAAAGGCGCCGACTTACGTTTGATCCAGAGCTCCCAAAACTCAATGGGTGACAATCTGGTGGAGTATGCAGGCCATGGAAGAACTGGGACATTTTCAACTTCCAGGAATTGTGTACAGATCCTTGAGACATGGGGGCGTGCATGATCATGCTGACACATTGATGTGATGGCGGCGGATATGATGGCACGACAATGGGCCTCAGGATCTCGTCACGGGGATCTCTGTGCATCAAATTGTCAACGATAAATGCAGCTGTGTTCATTGTCCGTAGCTAGCATATGCCTGCCCATCCCATAACCCCACCGCCACCATGGGATTTAGTTCACAACCTTTTAATCAGCCAAAAACCGCTCGCCACACCGACGCCATCTGCCCTGTACAGTGAAACAGGGATCATCTGTTGAAGAGCACACTTCTCCAGCGTGCCAGTGACAGAAGGTGAGCTACGATGCCAACTGCAGTCAGGTCAAGACTTGGTGAGGACGCGCGCACGCAGATTCATCTTTCTTTACAAGTTTCTGACCGTTTTAGAAAAGTTCTTTTGGTTGTGCAAAAACCCCACAGTTCCATTCAGCTTGTCCAGGTGGCTGGTCTCAGACGATCCCGCAGGTGAAGAAAGAAGAAGCCGATGTGGAGAGGTCCTTGGCTTGGCGTGTGGTTTTACATGTTGTCAGTGGGTTTGGGGGCCGATTGGCTTCTGCCAATTCATCTAAAAATTAGTTGGAGGCGGCTTATGGTAGAAAAAGAAAAATTAACATCCAATTCTCTGGCAACAGCTCTGGTGGAATTCCTGCAGTCAGATGCAATTGCATCTGGCCATTGTGTTATTTGACAAAAACTGCACGTTTTAGAAGTGGCCCTTTTATTGTCCCGTTCACAAGGTGCACCATGTGTTTGTAATGATCTGCCTTGTGCACAAAATTATAGAAATACGTTTTTTTGTGGTAGGAATATTTCTGGGATCTTTATTCAGCTCATGAAATGGGACCAACACCTTTAAAAAAAGTTTTTTCAACCACTCCACACATTTCTTGTACAAAAGCTAATAGTTTTGCAAGTCGGTCTAGGACATCTACTTTGGCATGACACAAGTAATTTTTCAACCATTGTTTTACAGAGAGATATTTCACTTTATAATTCACTCTATCACAATTTCCAGTGGGTCAGACGTTTACATACACTAAGTTGACGTGCCTTTAAACAGATTGGAAAATCCAGAAAAAATAATGTCATGGCTTTTTAGAAGCTTGTCTGATAGGCTAATTGACATCATTGGAGTCATTGGAGGTTTGACCTGTGGGTTGATTCAAGGCCTACCTTCAAAATCAGTTGCCTCTTTGCGTGACATCATGGGAAAATCAAAAGAATATCAGCCAAGACCTCAGAAAAATAATTGTAGACCTCCACAAGTCTGGTTTCATCCTTGGGAGCAATTTTCCCAACCGCCGAAGGTACCACGTTCTATGTACAAACAATAGTACGCAAGTAGAAACACCATGGGACCACGCAGCCGTATACCGCTAAGGAAGGCGACACGTTCTGTCTCCAGAGTTAACGTATTTGGTGCGACAGGCAAAATCAATCCCAGAACAAACAGCAAAGGACTTGTGAAGATGCTGGAGGAAAAGGTACAAAATTATCTATATCACAGTAAAACCAAGCTATATCAACATAACCTGAAAAGCCGTCAGCCAGGAAGAGAAGCAGCCACTGCACCCAAAAACCGCCATAAAAAAGCACGGGTTGCACTGCACATGGGGACAAAGATAGTACTTTTTGGAGAAGAAAATGTCCCCTGGTCTGTGAAACAAAAATAAAAACTGTTTGGCCATAATGACCAATCGTTATGTTTGGAGGGAAAGAAAAAGGGGGATGCTTTGCAAGCCGAAAAGAACACATCCCAACCGTGAAAGCACGGGGGGGTTCGGTGGGGCGATATGAGTGTGGGGGGAGCTTTGCTGCAAGGAGGGACTGGTGCACATTCACAAAAAATAGATAGCATTCATGAGAAAGGAAAATTATGTGGATATATTGAGCAACATTCAGATATCAGTCAGGAAGTGTAAAGCTGGTCGCAAAGGGGTCTTCCAAAGAAACAAATGGTGACCCCAAGCATATTCAAAGTTGCGGCCAAAATGGCTCAGGACAACAAAGTCAGGTATTGGAGTGGCCATCACAAAGCATGACCTCAATCCTATAGAACATGTGTGGGCAGAACTGAAAAAGCGTGTGCGAGCAAGGAGGCTACAAAACTGACTCCGTACCACCAGCTCTGTCAGGAGGAATGGGCCAAAATTCACCCAGACTTATTGTGGGAAGCTTGTGGAAGGCTACCCGAAACCATTTGACCCAAGTTAAACAATTTAAAGGCACTTGACCAATACTAATTGAGTTGTATGTAAACTTCTGGACTCACTGGGAATGTGATTGAAATGAAATAAATAAAAGCTGAAAATAAATATTCTCTATAATTAAGTTATAATGACATTCACTTCTTAAAAATAAAGTGTTGATCCTAAACGACTAAAAAAGGGAATTTTTACTAGGATTATTAAATGTCAGGAATTGTGAAAAAAACTGAGTTTAATCTAATTTGGCTAAGTGTATGTAAACTTCCCGACTTCACTGTAGGTTAAATAGATTTTTAGCCTTGAACAAGAGACAGGGAGTGTGTATGTGGCCATCAGAGGGTCAATGCGGTAAGATATAACATATTTAAGTGCCTTAAAAGGTATGGTGTAAGTGCCAGGCACACCGGTTTTGTGTCAAGAACTGCAACGCTGCTGGGTTTTTCACGACAACAGTTTCTGATGTGTATCAAGAATGGCCACCACCCAAAGGACATCCAGCCTAAATAACACAACTGGACCACATTGGAAGTCAACATGGGCCAACATTTCTGTGGACCCGCTTTCGACACTTGTAGAGTCCATGGCCCCTACGAATCGAAGTGTTATGAG